TTGTAGATCTCAACGACACGAAGGCAAAGTGTGTTTGTTCGATTGAACCTCGACAAACAAGCCCTACAAATTCATCTCTTCCAGAAAGACTATAGCAAGAATCACCGAAAAAACCGAAAAATTTGGAAGTGTAATCGTTAGCAAGATGATATAAATTGTTAATAGTTTTTGTCACCTGTTTAATGAAAAAAAAAAACATTTGTGTATATGAAAAATCTTTTGGGTAAATTAAGGCCACCCTCGAGGTAAGGTCAAATTACGAAAGCCCCCTAATGTTTGAGCAATTACAATCACCCCTCCACTATGAATCTTCTTATACGTCAATTTTTGCAGTGTTAAATTTAGTGGAATCTTCTAGATATGTAGCCGTTTTGTACCCGTTTATCTCATTCGAGCCTTGAAACAAGATGATCATAAATATGTGTCTCTTGGCTTGTAAATATCATATCGCATCAGAAATATTATTTTTGCACAAAACAAGATATTACAAATTTGTTATATTTATTTGAATTTTGACCAAACATTACTCATCTCTTACATTATGCAAGTTACATATACTATGAACTTTTGGCTTCTAATCTTCTCACTTTGCCATTCACTTTGCCATTTCACCTGTCCAACCAAAGAAAAAACAAATTAATTAAAAAAAAAATTATATAAATAATATCGAATAAAATCGAAGAGTAAAAAAATGTACATGGTTCAAAGTCGGCGGTGCATTTAACAGGTAGCTGCATGGCCATGGTGCGATCGACGCCAGCAATGGGGGGCCCAGTTACGAGGACACAGAGGCAAGGCTGACCTAGAGCTTTTATGGAAGCACAGCAAGCCTCCGTTGGCGGTATAGGGCTGAAGGGGGCCACTGCCGCCTTGCATGGTATCAGCTGGACTAGTGCCGAGAAAAACGTGCTTCCGCACGGATGGCCTATGCTATCCTGCACCGCCATTGAAGATATTACTAGTACTAACATTAGCAGAGGCAAGGTAGTTCTTGAATCGGAAAACTTCATTTTCTTTTTCGTTTTTTTTTTTTGTAGTTTTTCGGGTTTTTCTTTTTCTTTCTTTCGATGTGTTTCTTGAATCTTGATCATGCAGATATTTAAAGGCTGATGGGGTGGGGGTGGGGGTGGGGGGTGGGTGACTTTTGGTGCTTTTGTTCTAACTATGTATCACATTTGATTCATGTTTTACTTGTAAGAAAGAAACTACTCTGTTACATTCATTTGTTCCGGAGGAAATAAAATTCACTTCCGAAAAATATCAGAAAAAAATCGGAATTGAAAAAATATTGTTCCAAGAACGAACATTTTACAATTGACAACAGAGGAACTAAAATTCGCTTCCGAAAAATATCATTAACGGATACAAATTGTAATTGATATAAAATTAAAATTTGGCAAGGGTTTTAGTTCTGATGAAGGCCAACTTTTTTAATTAATATTTAATTAAATTCATTAATCAAAATATAGCATTAATCAGTCATTTATGGGGTGTTTAGAATTAATCAAGCTGGATTTTTAACATCTCCAAGATTTAATTTTTAATTTCAGAACCAAGAACAGCAAATCTGAATCTAGAATTTGAAATTTCATCAACAAACTACAGATCGAGAGGCTTACAAACTGATAAACCCTTCTGCGAAACAGCTTTACACTAATAAACCCTAATTCAAATCCAAAACATCATAATAAACCCCAACATTTAAAAAAAAAAAAAAGGAAATTAAAAACCCTAGACTCGGACCGAGTCGACTCACTCTAAGCACGCTCGCCTCTGATTCTCCTGGCGAGCTGGATGTCCTTCGGCATAATGGTAACCCTCTTGGCGTGGATGGCGCAGAGGTTGGTGTCCTCGAAGAGTCCGACGAGGTACGCCTCCGCCGCCTCCTGCAGCGCCGCCACGGCGGAGCTCTGGAAGCGAAGATCCGTCTTGAAGTCCTGCGCGATCTCACGCACCAGCCTCTGGAACGGCAGCTTGCGGATCAGAAGCTCGGTGGACTTCTGGTACTTCCGGATCTCACGGAGGGCGACGGTTCCGGGGCGGAAGCGGTGGGGCTTCTTCACTCCGCCGGTCGCCGGAGCGGACTTCCTGGCGGCCTTGGTGGCGAGCTGCTTCCTCGGGGCCTTGCCTCCGGTTGACTTTCGGGCGGTCTGCTTGGTACGCGCCATTCGAATCTGAAAGAGGAGGGTGTAGAGATAGAATCTGTATGTATAGATTAGTGCGTGTTTGTGTGTGTGGTGAATTTGGGAGAGAGGCGGTGGGTTTTTAAATAGAGAAATTGAGAGCGGGAGGGATTTTGATTTTGGGGGGTTTTTGAATTTTTGGGTTTGGACGATGACGGAAAGCCGTTGATTAGGTTTGGAATTGACGGTAGGGATTGTAGATCCGGTTCGCGATCCGCGTTGTGGATGATGTAGCCAATGATGTTGTGCCACGTCGGATGGGTGGATTTTCGGTGGACTCTGTTCTAATTTGAATATTTGGTCATTTCGCTCCTTCTGGATTCTGAGCGGTATATATATTTCTTAATAAACTGAATAAATATACATAAAAATAACACGTAAAATGTATAAAAGAAAACATTGAATATGCATATATATAAGAGCATCTTCAATGGAGAGGGTGGTTTTCCGGATTCCCCCTCCCCTCCCCTCCCCCTCTCCTCCCCCCCCTTCCTCTCGCTCTATCTACGTTGTTTCCAACCGTTCGGTCTTTTATTACTTTTTTTCCAATCCCCAGTCTCACCACTATTATACTACTACTACTAATAATAATAATAATAATAATAATAATAATAATAATAATAATAATTTTAATTTTAATAATACAATATTCAAATAAAAGTAAAGAAATAATTTTCCACTAATTCAATAATTAAAAAACAACAAGAATAATAACTATTAATACAATAAAATAAAATAAAATAATGATATAATATAAAAATAAATACAAAAGAAAAAGAAAAATAAATAAATAAATTTCATATGTAAAAGAGCGAAAAGAAAAATGAAAAGAACAAAAAAGAAAAACAAAGAGAGAAAGAAGCGTGTAACAAAAAAAAAAAGAAAAAAAAATTGGCAAGTAAACCACACGCCCCCTTCCAGCACGTGAGTTGGAAGGGGACCGCTCAAAGCAAAGCTCCCTCCCCCTTCTCCCCACCCATACCCAACCCATACCCACCCCTCCATTACTCACCTTTATTGGAGGTGGTTTTGTCTTCCCAGTTCCCACCCCTACCCACCTCTAGACATGGCCACAGGGCGGGTCGGGTCCGGGTCTGGGTCGGACCCGCCGGGTCGGGGTCCGACTTTTAGGGGATCCAAAACCGACTCGCGGGAAGCCGGGTCCGGGTCCAACCCGGTTTTTCAATTTTTTTATTTTTTATTTTTTAAACAAAAAAAACATATATTGAAACTTGAAAAAACATGAGATTAACTTTAAATTCAAATTTAAAAAATAATTGAATTTAAACATTAAACAATTTTAGAAAAAAATGAAACGATAAAACCTTGAGACATAAACTAAATAAAATGAAAGTCGTGAAAATTGAATTATGGGTA